GACTTGTTATCGACCGTCCTCTCCGGACAAACGCTTGAGCTTATTAGCGACGACGAGGATGTGGCGGAGGAATCGTCAGAGAAAACCATGGTGAAAGTAGCGCCAACGAATAGCAAAGGGGCAGGTGGAGTTTGAGGAGCGCAGCTATGGCGTTGTCACACATTTCGATTTTTATCGTTTCAGATGTGTTTGACCCGGTCAAGGTCGATTGGTCGTCTTTAGAAACCGACTTTACAGCGAAGGTCGGTGTTCTCAGCACAGCCAGACAAAAGTTTTCAGTGCCGAAGGTACTGTCGTCGGTTCCGTTGTACGCTCCGCTGCTCGGTTCAGATATCGTCGATAGCATAAAGGCGATCGTTAGCAGTGACAAAGCGTCGACCAGCAATGCCAGTAGTGGTGATGGTGATGGCACGTGTTGCATAGACTTTAATGCGTTCGATTTTAACCGTTCTCGGAGACGCCGCATACATGATCTTATCAGCTCAGATTCGTCTGACAGCGTTTTATCCGCTCGCACAGACCTGAAGTTGCGCCGGATACTGTGTCACTTCAGTCCTGAGGTATGTACTCCGCTTTGACGTTCACGTGATCAAAAACGGCACTTCCAGCCGCGTGTGCATGTTTAAGGCACCTGATATGGTTTGGTCCGGTGAATCCGACTTGGTCGTGAACCCAAAGCTTCGCGAAACAGCGAGGAGTTCGTTTATGCAGTGCAAAACTAAAATGGACAAATTTCTTGCCAGCGTCTGCCAGAGCTAATGCCGTTTTCAGTCGGACATCGTCGTCTTGCATCGTTGTCTGTTTTGGCTTCTCATCTGAGTTCGTCTTTAAACTGGTCCAAAGGGAGATCTGCTTCTCGTAGAAGTGAGTCTTCCTCTATGACCTCCTTATAACCGCCCTGCTGTTAATATTTTAATGTCATCTGTGCTAATTTCGTTCTGTGTCTAAGTATTAAACCGATTAAATACTTCTGAATTGAACTGTTTCTGGCGATGGAGTAAAACTTTTGTTTTAACTCAAGATGCACAAGAGATTGTCTTTTTTTTCCACCTCTGTTTCCGTATCACTTTTTCGAAAAGTTTTTTACCCGTTAAGATAAAGTAGATATATCATTATACAGTAGTCGAAATTTTGCAAATTTCTACCTCCCGCAGAAATGATTTGTGAGGGATAATTTGTTGTTATGATACCTGTAACTAACCTGAAAATCGTGGCCTCACAAACTCAGGCGAAACCTTATGAAGACATTCGATATGTATAGTGGTATGGCACTGGAAGAGATCATTTCAAGAATCTAATAACAGCCTTGATTATTGATCATAATGTCGGCTCAGAGCTGAAATGGCATTTAAAGGCATTCGTGAACTTCTCCATAATATATTATATTATATAGACTAACGGTCGCGTCATTGATATGGACAGTTGTTTGACATTGGGTGGCTTTCCCTCATTTAAAGCGCAGCTAAAGTCTTCTGGCTAGCTTTCAATCACTAGGCTTTTATCTTTTGCAGCGGAAGGTTCAAACAACAGATGGTTATCAAATGATAGCGTTGCACCTCTCTTACCATGAATATCCGTTGCAGATCGCGTTAGTCTGATGATATGATTATCAAATCGATCATTGACTTCCGTGTACAAGTTTCCCTGTGCCAGGTTTAATGATGCTCGAAGAAGGTATTCATAAT